CTCTCTCTCTCTCTCTCTCTCTCTCTCTCTCTCTCTCTCTCTCTCTCTCTCCCCTCACCACTCCCCCCTTCTTTCCTGTCTTAAAAAATCTCCCCGCTTCACTTTTCTCGGTTTCTCTTTAACAAACCAACCCCATATCAATGTCAGTGTTTCTGACCCTTAGTCTACATCTGTCTGCCTCTCTCCTGAAGGAGAAAGAAAGTGACATAATATTCATTGTATAACTTTTCATAACGGACGTCTACAGGTATGAAGACTTTCTGTCCTCTCAAGTCACGGAACTGGACATGTTCTACCTGGAAGACGTCAATATGGCGCGAAAGTTGGTGGAATTGGGCTACCGAGGCGCTCGCGAGGGCTTCAGTAGGGAGCAGTTTGAAGCCACTAAAGCGGCCATAGAGGCAAAGAAACAGGCGGCAAGGCAGATGCAGGTGAAAAGATCAGAAAAAAATACTTCTTAGTTAGAAAGTCGGAGATTTATTGTATTGATTTGAAATGTTTTACTCCCCTATCTACAGAACTGAGATAGTTCAGATAGTAGACTGCTCCTTCTGCCTATCAGGGCCAACGTGAGGTAAAGGATTCAGAATCCCTGCATAAAGACGAAGATAATCTTTAAACTGATTTACCAACGCGCGAATCAAACTCACGTTGTTTGTGAGCAACTACTAGCTTGGAACACGTTCGTCTGACCGCGGTTAAAAGAAGGTGTAATGAAATTCTTCTGTTTAATTTCTCCAATCTTAGCATACGGGTCTAAGAGTTGGATGACCAACAGAATCTAAAAGCCCATTCGTAAAGGTCACGGGAAACTAGGGTTCCGACACGTTTTCTTTTATGTTAGCCTAAAGTGAGTACGAAAATAATTGGGGATATACAACATACACCTAAACCATAAGACAGTTGACGTTTTTTCCCAAGAACCATACTTTTTTTTCGGTAGGTGTTTTACGGCCCTCGCAACTGTATAATAAGGTCATATGAGCGTGTGGTACATATTAAACAATTTTCAGTTGGTAGGGAATTTTGAATTTTTCCCGGGTGGCGGCCGAAGCCTACTCTTATCGATTGTAGACCACCAAGGGATCTTTAACGAGCGCAACTTGCACATAGGACCTCCGAGATTTTTCGCACTTGTCCGAGAAGGCTAGGTGTAGATCTTTCCTAACAGAAGATTAGGGGTGTGGCTGAAAGACAGCAGTAAGAAAGACCAATGAGTAGCAGTAGAAAGGCTGCAGAAAGAGTCAGAGCCCAGAGGAGGGGGCAAAGGAGGTGAGGGGAGTAGGGGCAAAAAGTGGAGACGAAAGCAGACGACAGAACATTGCTAAAGAGCAGGAAAGGAGGTGAAAGGAGACAATTAATTTAGAAAAGAATTTTTTCCGTCGTTTCCCGGATTCGAACCCGGGACTTTTGAAAGAAAGGCGAACACCTTAACACTTAGGCCACGAGAGCCCCCGCACCATACTTTAACGTGCGCCAAAGAAACCCGATTCAAGAGACGGGGGTGAGTAATTTTCAAGACTCACATAAAGACATCTTGACCGGGATGAAATTTAAAAGCTTGCACTGGAAGGAGGGGCCAGGATGGTGTCGCTGTCTCAAAATGAGCAATGTGTCGGCAAGGTTGGGGCGTTGACCAAAATGGCCCAAAACAAACAGAGCTGGAGATCCTTTGTTGCTGCCCTAAACGCCAGATGGCGTAATGGGTAGTAAGTAAGTAAGTAAGTAAGTAGGTAAGTAAGTAAGTAAGTAAGTAAGTAAGTAAGTAAGTAAGTAAGTAAGTAAGTAAGTAGGTAAGTAAGTAGGTAAGTAAGTAAGTAAGTAGGTAAGTAAGTAAGTAAGTAAGTAAGTAAGTAAGTAAGTAAGTTGGCAAGGTTACTGTAAGTTCTTTATTTTAGGGATCCTGTGTATGCACGCAAAGAGCGGTTGTTTAAAGTAGGGTCCAAAGGGAAATTTTTTTATAGGGAATTCAGATTTTAAAAAAAATTATTTGGTTGCCGGCCTGCAAACGTGCCATGCAAAGTTTCGTGGGCAAAGGTAAGTTAATAAATGAGCTACATTTTTTAACGCACACAGGCGAAAGTGAACAAGCTACAGCTAGCTCGCTATCTAACTCGATGGATAGATAGATAGATCATCCTATATGTTTGTTTGCTTGTTTGCTTGTTTGAGTTAAATACAGGGACGTCGACGGAATCATAGTATTTTGCTTTTTAGAAACGTAAAATCCTAGAGGTTTCATGTCGCCATCGACAATATTTAGTATTTAGGTCAGTTAGGGCCTGCCCCAGCTGAGAGGGATACAACGTTCCGGTAGAAAGAGGTAGATACTTGATAAAAATTCCTCCCACTCGGGAATCAAACTCATATGCGACGGGGTGCGACGGCACATTATAGCACCTAAGCCCTACACCACAGACGCCGGACTTAAGTGTGTAAAAATACGAGGCGAAGTTTCAAATCAGTACCTAGTATAGCGTAGGGATAAGAGAGATATCAAATCAACCAGCAGCACTTTCCGAGTGATAGATACACCAAGTGGAGTCATAACCCCTCCCTCCTGAAAGGAGAGAGACATTCGTTGTCTCGCTTTTCTTTTTCTTGAAAATGTTATTTCCCACCCCAAAAAAGTACAAGTTTTAAACCGAAATGGGGTCTGGGTTTTTTGTTCTTATTCTCTCTGGAATACCACTCTCAGCCCTGCGTGCCCCTCCCCCCTCAACCTCTCTCTTCCCAGAAACATGTCTTCAGTGCTGGAAAAGAGTTTGAGGACGGAATGCTCCGAGCCTTACAGCAGAGAGAGGAGGCGAATAGAACTGGCAAACAGGCGTCCATCTTTTTCATCAGAGATTACAACGAGTTTGGTAAGTTATTATGTCAAGGGCTTCGGTGACGGTATCGCACGAGGGCGGAGATTCTGTAGCTTGTTTAGATCCTATTAAAAAACCCCCAACGATTTGCTATTATTTTTCTGTTTTGTCTTTACAAACTGGGGTTTCCTTTGTGTTTAACGTACGAGTAGACCTGAGAAGATCTCAGAGGCTTATGTTTTCTAATAATGTCCAATTGAGATGGGCAGGCAAAAAGGTTAAGTAAGCCTATCGCTTTTTTTATAGGCCAAGAAATATCCGGATATGTAGATTATTCTCATCGCCTGGCCACCGAAGACTTTGAACCTATCTTCAACTTACGAAAGAAATTCCTCCCAAAACAGACAGACCTGAGCTTCTTCAACTGGGAGACCATGCGGGTCATGAGCAAAAATTCTCCTAATTATGAGGTATGGTCTGTTCGTTAATCTTTAGTTCTGATCATCAATGTAAGATTCTTCTTCTTCTTTCATTTTCAGTGGCAGCGGTCTATGTGTTTGTGTTTCTTTTGATCGTAGGTTTATTTCCTCCTTCTATCATTCTATAGTTTCTGTTGTCATCGTAATGTTGCCTGTTCCTTGCATTGCCAGGCCAATCTTGTGTTGTGGGCTCTCTTCAGAAACTGAAATGAAGCAGAACCCTAACACTGCACATATACTTCAAGTTTCTTTGTTTTGATTTTCTAAAGGGGGGGGGGGGGAGAAGATTGGCGGAAAAAATTAGGAAAGGGGAAGTGAGAGGGCACTTGTATTCTTTTGTGTTTGCTTTTGCTCTGTCGCCACTACTTTGAGGCTGCCACTGCATTGTTGTTATACCGAGAAAAAAACACGTTTCAGTAAAGTAATTCTGGGCCCTTTATTCAGAACTTACTTGACTTAGTGAACACACCTGGGACCTCCATTCTTCATATGGCCACAATTGGGTCACCATGATATTACACGCAAAAAGTGCTTTTAAGAATGAGATTTAATTATCTTTTATCAAAGCATTTTTTTCTTTCATAACATGTAACTTATCATGCACGCCTACACGGTCAGTGGCTATATCACAATCTTTACTTTATACAAGCTTATAAGCTAGAATGATCCATTATCGCTCTCTCTCTCTCTCTCTCTCTCTC